GCGCGCTTTGCTCACATGGCATCAACTCTCTCAGACGTTCTATTTCTCCAATCTCTGGAATGATTCAGTAAAAGAAATGGTCGACATGTCTGCGGTGCTCTGTTCAAAGGCATGATTTGGACTCAACTACAAAAAAATAGACATGACAATTTCCTGCTAGAAGAGCCAGGTGCTTTTGCTAATCCAACCACGAATGTCTCCAGCCAAATTGTCGACAAACTGGCTCTCCACCTCCTCCAAAGCTCGGAAAGCTTCACTCCGTCGCTGGGTGCGTCCCACCTTCGCTCGCCAAGCCCCGGATGAACCGCGGAAACCCGTTGGAAAAAAAATGCAAATAAAATCACGCTGTGATACGCTGTGGCACTGCCATGCATGGGAGTGGGGGTTCATCTTCATCATTTGTTTACAGCACATCATCGTGTATATACATGCATGCAATCATATACATGAATTGAACCGCCCAAAGTTTCACCTCCCTCTTCAATTGGCAACCATAGTATAACCACCGTGCGTTCAATGATGCCATGAACATGTCACCTTGGGCACAATTACTTCCAAAGGGCCAGAGTGGCCAGAGGAGGGGCGAGGTGGGACCTTCTCTCGTCATCTTGTCCTTTTGACCTTGGAACTCAACTGTCGCCCTAGTTCCTTTAAGGCTGGGCGTTTTTTGCCAGACTGTTCCAGTTTAGGTCTCAGTGAGATCCGGAAGAACCTGAAAAAGGTTCAGCGGTTTGAAACCCGACCTGCTGCCTGATGCTCCCAGATGCTGCCTGATGCTCCTTCGGTCCAAGCATCAAAGTTGCTTTTAAAATATGTTCCTTTCTGCATCCGCTTTTTGTCACTCCTGGAGGTTCTTTTTTGGTTGGGTGATTGGTCATGCAAGCAGATTTGGCGGGGCAGGAGAGGAGCACACAATAAATTTTAGCGTCGGGATCGGTTCAGACCTTCAAACAGCTGCTTTTTCGTTCACCCGATTGTGCCAAGAATTGTAAAAGTGAAAATTCCTGTCTATGGGATAGCAGTGACGTCAGGCTTTACGAGACGTCTTGCGTGTGACACATGTCTTTTTTTCCCAAACATCTCCGATGCTTGGGTTCTCGTTTAGTCGCCAGTGCCGCGGAAGAGCGAGACAAAGCGTGCGTTGTCGGGGACGGAAGAAGGTAGGCGGACGGGGTTGGGAAAGGAAGAGGGAGGGGAAGGAAGGGAGGGGAGCGAGACAGGAGGCGCATGGGTGGGGACGGGACTGGGGAGGGAAGATGGAGGGAAGCGAGACGGGAGGCGCATGGGTGGGCGAGACGGGAGGCGCATGGACGGGGCTGGGGAGGGAAGATGAGGGGAGCGAGACGGGAGGCGCATGGGTCATGGGTGTGGGGAGCGAAGATGGAGGAGAGCGAGGGGGAGCGAGACGGGAGGTGCATGGATGGGGACGGGGCTGGGGAGGGAAGATGGAGGGAGGCGCAGATCAAGTCCATATCAAATGCCCCGTCGCCTGATCTTACCGATGCTTTTGAAGGCTACTTTAAAGCGCGGAACTGGTGAAACATTGGAGGTGCCTGGGTAAATTGTACTCTGAGAACAATGATGCACGCCAAAGCATTCAATGTAATCCTTTGAAACCCGTGCTGGGGAAATATCTATGCAAGCCACATCAGTATCAATTAGTAGACCACAACCCATTGATGAGGGTTTTTTACAGTGCTTCGTTCAAAGACATGATTGATGCACAACAACATATGGACAAAACAACAAGCCAAGTGCTCCTGCACAAATCACAAGTGACTCCGCTAACTGTCAACAAACCGGTGCTCCACCTCCTCCGAAGCACTGATGAACGCTTTGCTCTGTTGCTGGGGCTTTCCACCTGGGGTCTGTTCCACAATGATGATACCAAAGGTCCGAAGCACAAACATCTCAAGTAAGACTAAGAACTGTTCAAAACGAAAATGCCGAGCTGACGTGTTTCTTCTTTGTTGTGCCCCAACAAGCCTTGATGGGTCTCCTACTAGACTTTGACGCTTCGTTGTCTGCTACACAGCTACACTCACTACCACAAAACTCAAATGTCAAATTCGTTGCACCCTGTTGTGCATGGGACGAAGGACTGAAGCCCTCATGTCACGCAAAACCGTCTTTGGTTGAAACGCAGGCCATTGCACATTCCACTGTCACTTGAGATGCATGTGAAGCGGCTCCCAGTTGGCTTGCAGTGTCCATTTGCATTCGATCTCCTGCTTGTTGAGATCAATCTGGCTCATTCGCAGTCGAACCTCGTCAAAAAGGCACAAGTTCGAGAGACGCAAGAGAGAAATGGGGACGGATGTCGCCGACACCGTTTCGAGAATCCGAGAAGCAAAAAATATCTGAGTGTACTCCTGAATCTCTCGCGAGGTGAGGACATTCGTCTGGGTTTGTTGTGGACAGTTTGGCCGAGCAATGAGAAAACTAATAGAGGTCAGGCAGTGAAGCTTCATGAAAGCCCGCTTGTCGCGCAGGCTGTAGTCTCTAGTTCGCATCCAGGTCACTTGCATTTGTTCATGAGTCAAGCTACGGCTATTCCTAATAGTGGACTTCACCTGGGCATGGTTGTGTCACTATGCCTTGGGTATCATTGACCCCGGTGAAACTCCAACCATGTTATGTTCAACCTGCAGGTACATTCCAACCTGCAGTAAGTGCGTTGTCCGCCAACATGGCCCGACTGTGCTTTCTGTCGGAGAACACACAAAATGTCATAATCTGGCAGCTCTGGTAGATGTCTGTCTGTACGAAAAAGTCAAGAACCACATGAGCAGGCCAATCAATAGACCATCAAAAGTCATGTATAGCGAGACTCTCCTTGCAAAGCTCCACGCACCCCCTGGATATCTATTGGAGCGTTCAGCTTTGATCTTTTCTTGCGAGGCTGCTGTTTCAAACTTCAGATTGTGTGGTTGAGTGCTGATTCATGGAAAAGGAAAACCCAAGCCATAATGCAAGAAGCAACAAAAGAGAAGATTGAACATAAGGACGCGACAAAAGCCCATATTGCTCCTGTGGAGAGGAACCAGGCTCGGAGGTGGCGCAGCCCAAATACCACCCCAATCGCACCAGTAACACCAGTAACAAGTGCGATGAACAATATGAAGTAGTCCAGCCATGAAGCTTGCTTGTCTATTGAGATTGTGTGGTTGAGTGCAATAGATTCATGCTGGCCACGGCCTTGGGACTGCTTCTTCCTCACTCCTGAGTCCTGTCCTGACTCCTGTATTTGCACTGCAGGTTGGTGATACCGCCACGCTTCGATAAACAGAAGTAAGAAGAAGAGGATAATGACTATCGGCCGTATTCGTCTACCATGATGCTCATAGTTGACCCACGCAAAAAGCGTGCACCCTGCAACCAGGAGAGCCACAACAGCACTTGCTAAGAAGAGGAACACCTTCAATGGCCAACCAAGCACCGCACCAAATACAAAAATGCACAGGGAAAGAATGCAAACTGCAAGGAATATATGTACCATCCAGTGCAGCTCACTACCCAATCTGGTGTACAACGTCCAAATCGAGCCAATCACACCAAGCACCCCAATGATCGCAGTTGACACCAAGAAAAAGTCCTGCGCTGGCCAACCATGCAGCCACTGCAAGAAGCATACCACGAAAGCACTTAGACTTGTCATCCCAAGGTTCAATAACACCAAAAGGGGATCGCGATCAACGATGTTTGTACTTGCTGCTTGGTACACAAGAATCAAATCCCACAGAAAGCTCAATATTGGGAGCATCGATGAGCTGAAGCTTGAGTCTCTCAGCACAATTCCGACTGAGCCGGCTACTCCAAAAACAAATGCTAGAACTTCTGGTTGGATGGCCCAGCTTGCAGTCTGCAGGCTTTGCGAGGGCCACTTGCATGTCTTCAAGTAAGCGCATGAAATGGATACTTCTACTGCTATCCAAAGGAGCCCGAAGGAGGATGCCAGCAAATGTTGTTTGTGCTCTGTCAGCCTTGAAAACACACCAATGAAAAGAACCTCCATGACCAGCATCAAAGGACCTGCCGCCACTGCCCCTATATTCCACGGCAAGGGGGCATCTTTCAAGTTGTACTGCCTGTTCAACAAATGCAAGATGTACAACTGACAATTGTTAAATAGCAAATCATATGATCTCCCAATGAGTGGGCTCAATCTTGCCTCTCTTTTGAGGCCCACAGGCGATATCTCATCGACCTTGATTGGCTCCTGTGGCGCCAAGAATGTCGTAGTCGAATGCATCCATGTAACTCAGAACTACTCCCTCGGCCATCCTGAATGGTTCTGTCACCTTCCAGAGATTATGCCGCAGCTCCGCTCTAGACCTTGTCGTGCTGAGTAGATGTAGCAAAAGCGCTTGGACCCTTTCGCAGCGATGGCGATCCCTGCCCAGTGCCAACATCGGCCAGGCACACCTAATTTCTGCTTGCATCAGTTCTTTGATCTCCTCACAAGACTTTGCTTCTTTGATTAAACACATTGTGCTTGCATGGCGTCTCATGGAATCATCCCGTGCTGCTAGTATTGAAAACCAAATTCTGTCGATGCCTTTTTGAATCTTTTGCTTTGAGTTTTCTGTGCCTTTTGTCGCATCCACAAAATCCAATACAAGCGTTTCAACTGTTGCTACGATATCGACTGGAGACAGGCAAACTATCTTGGGCCAGGTGATGCTCATTGCCCGTCGAAGCTGTTGCCTGCGTTCCTCTCCAGGCTGCGCTGCACTAATGGAACGCTCAAGCCTTCTTTTCACAAAAAGGTCAGAGTCACAATAATAACGGTCCTTCCCACACAATATTGGTCGCCAAATGCAGTCCATCCCCTGTTGAACTCTGTTGCTGAGGTCCTCGCTGCAATCCGCACCATCAATAAGCTGGAGAAAAAGTGTTTCTACCCATTTCACGGGCATGGCCGTCAAACAGAGTCTGCATTGGCCAAAAAGCATCCATAGTTTGTTGAAACTCTTTCTTGCACTCCTCCGTGGACTCCACGTCAATGATACCTTGGAGGAGGCGTGCTTTGGCCCGCTCAAGCTCGCTGTTGGATGGTATTGGCCAGATGTACTTCAGCGCAGATTCAATCTGTTCAATCTCTACCTTCACTAGTTCGCGGTGTTGAGACGGCCACGCAGCAAGTCCAGATTCGACAAAAATTAAGAGAAGAATTTCAGCCATATGCTGCACATCATCGGTAGACATCATGCACCAAATGCTGTCCATGGCCGCTTGGATTTCTTCTTTGGAATGTTGCGCAGACAGCATACAATCAATGCAACTCACTATCCTGTTCAACCCAGCTCTCATATGTGGCCAAATAGAGTCAATTGCTCGCTGAACCTTTTCCATTCGACCCATGCTCGGCTCAGATTGCTGAAGTTGAACGAAGCCGTCTTCTGTCTTTTCCGCAGCAGATGGCATTTTCAAAAGCTCCACAATACATTGGTTTTCTCCCCAGCGCTCGCCAGTCTCTTGGTCGATTGCTGACAACTCCACACACCATACCTCACCGGTATCAAAAATCCAAAGGCTTGCCCAATGTGAACATATGCCCTTGCCAACAATCAGCACATGTGCCGTGCACAGTCGATCTGTTGTCTGCACCCAATGATCCTGCTCAGGGGCCACCTGCTCGTAGCGGACAAATGGAAGCTGTCCAAAACTGCGCGTGAAGAAATTTGAAAACATCGCTGCACGAGCTACACTTGTTCCTTGTTTCAAAATAGAAATTGGCAAATGCTGTGAAGAAAACAATAGAACCACTCCTTCGGGAAGGTAGGCTGTCATGAATTTGTTTGGAAACACACTCAGCTGTGGCAGAATATTTTGAACGGACTCGCGCATGCCTGTGTCTGTGTTGATCCGGCTTTTCACCCCAAAGGTGGATTCCGGAGCCTGACTTTAAGCCCTGCGAAGGGGCAAGATCGTGAGTTGTGAACAGTTGGATTTGGCAAGTTTTGGTGCGTCCGCATTTTGTGTAACGCTTCTTTCATCTGTGTGAGGTGTTAGTGGTTTTTAGATCTTACTTCTGAACTTTGCATCTGTGTGCAAACAAATTCACAAGCCTGATTTCTAGTCTGAGATGTATAAATAAAGAATCAGAAAGTGAACAAAATACAAACAAAACGGCAGGAACCATGGGAGCTCCCTGCCAGGATCTAGACATATATATATATAGGTCTGGCAACATTTGGACTTCCCCATGGGTTTAAAAATTGGTCAAAAATCGTGAGAAAACGATTACACCAGCATAGACCCCAAATAGCATTGAGAGCAGGACTGCGTTACCAATGTCCCTTTGAATGAAACAAATTCCGTTGGTCGAGCCTCGCAGCACGTAAAAACGCATTCATCTCTCGTCGGGTAAGGTTCCTGTTTGCAGTTTCCAATCTTATTGCTCGTCCACCTGTGAGCCAGGCTTGGCCTGTTCGACAACATTGGGCCAAAGTGATATATACATGATGCAAAGCACAGAATGCATTAAACTCTGAAGGCTTGAGACCAAGTCTCTCACTTTCCAAGGACTACAGTAAGTCTTTCTGAGGTTGCGGCTTATTTCGAGGCATCATCTGCACATGGTGGTGCTAGGCCTAGAAGAAAATCATCCAATTCAAGTGTGGAAAACTCATGGAGGAAAGTGGCAAGTTGTCAAAAGCCACTACAGCTGCTGTGACAATCGTGCTCGCGTGGCACAAGTGGCATGCAAGGACCAAACGTGCACCGCCGGCGCGTGGATCTCCGCCGGTTTCATGTGCTTGATGAGTTCGAATCAAATGAGTTGGCCGACAAGAGTACTACGTACACAACCGGCGATGTCGAAACAAGAACGTCAAAGTCCTTGCATTTTAGTGCTGGTATGTGAGGCTTTAAAGTTAAAACCTTCGTGTATCCAGCTCATTGATGTCGCAAGCGTCCCCCGAAGAAACAAAATGGCCCACGCGTTTTTAGATTCGTGGCAAAAGATTGTCTGAGGAAACAGCCCACTCAGCAGTCTCTCTTGCACTACTTTTTCGGGTCTGTGGAAAATGCCACACCAACCGAGATCTCTATTGCGGCTAAGTCCAGAACTTCTATATCTCGTCCAATGTCCCGTCCTGCAGACATCAGCTGGGGCATCGGCTGCTGGGCAGAGATCAGAGCCTCGGGCGCTCATGCAACTCTCAAGCCTCTCTACCACCACTGCATGATCCAGGTGACTGTACCCAAAAACAGTGAAGCAGCAAGGTGATTGAAAATAAGATCTATGAAAGCCAATAATGGGCTGCTTTGGAAACAAGCAGGTGCAACTCGCGTACAACACCATGTTTTGGCCAAGACAAATGCTGCAGCCGCTGGAAAGGCTGCATGCCCCACCACCTGGAGGCGCACCAGCCAGACTGTCTGGAGAGAAAAATTCCGGCGGGTTAATTTAGGGAGGACCACCTCCAAGGAGCAAGCGGACGATATATACAACTCAACTGTTGAAGCCCTTCCTGGAAGCTCTATCAAACTCTTGCCTCAGCCTGCTGTGCTGGTGGCGAGCACGGAGATTAGCATGGCAAACACCTGCCAAGGTGCCTAGGTCAAAGGCCATCATCAAATAGCAAACAGCATTCATAGGAGGACCTTCCTGCCTATTCAAAAACTAACTGTTCACCTTCAAATTGCAACATGTTTTGTTGGCAAGTCCAGCGTGGCCCAACAGAGAAGAAACCTAAACACTACACTGAGGCCAGATTTGATTTGCATCAAAATCCTTGACTGATGTCACCCTGCAAGCCCTTGAACCTTGACCCTGTGCCAAAACATCAACTCCTCTTTTCGTTCTCGTGGGGTCGACAAGCACTAGCGTCCCTATAACTTGCCAGAAATTACGTAGCGCTGCTCTAGCGCTCAGACAGCCTCTGCTGTGAAACTGTGGTCGGTAGGTCCGTCAAATAAGCTTTGAAGTGAGGAACCTAGACACCCGTCTGCCTCTCGGGCATTTAAAAGTTTTGCGCTCTATCCACCACTGCAAAGCATGTCGTAGAACCCTTGAAGCCATGGGCCGGCTTCGTGGCTTCGAAGCTTGGCACGTTGCAGAGCAAACTCATGCACTCCCCAAGACACAAGGGCCACACACACAATCGCCAGGCACCAGTAGAGGCTGGCAGGGGACACTATGAAAGATGCCTGCATGATCATGGTCGCGATATAGGACAGTACACCCATGCCCATAGCCACCACCGGTATGGCTTCAGCAAAGGAGCCCATCCATCCATGTCTCAGTTCTTCGGCGAACTCAACGGCCTTCCTCTTTCGGATGCGTTGGAATGCAATCAGGCGCGCAACTGCCGTCATGATGGCTAAAACGCTGCCTTGGTGGATCTTGACTGAAACTACAAACAAGACCACGAATGAAACTTGAGGCTGCAAGCAAGTTTGACGGTGTCCAAAATCTAAGTAAACGGCAACGTTCATCATTTGCAATAAATTAAACTTCCCATGCTGCCCTTACTCTTCGGAGGGCCATTTAATTTAGGATGTTTTTTTGTCTGTTTAAAGGTTTTTTTCTTGTTCATCGTGGCTTCTGT